GAGAGAGAGAGAGAGAGAGAGAGAGAGAATCCCAGGCAGGCGCCACACCGTCAGCACAGAGCCGGACGTGGGGCTTGAACTCACAAACCTTGAGATCATGACCCGAGCCGAAATCAAGAGTCAGATGCTTGGGGCGCCTGGGTGGCTCAGTTGTTTGACTCGGGTCATGATCTCATGGTTCGTAGGTTTGAGCCCTGTATCAGGCTCTGTGCCGATGGTGTGGAGCCTACTTGGGATTCCCTCTCTCCTTCTTTCTCTGTGCTTTCCCCACTTGCACTCTCTCTCTCAAAATAAATAACACTTCAAAAAGAAAAGAGTCCGATGCTTAACTGACCGAGCCACCCAGGCGCCCTAGGTCCCAATCTATTTTAGGGAAAAATATGCAAACAATAGAAAGGTGCTTTGTCTTCTATTTCTTTTATCCCTTAGGTTTGAAAGACTAAAGATTTCATGGAAGGAAATTCATATTATATGAAAAAAAAAAAAATTCGAGTAGTAGTGGCTCACCACTGATCTACCCTTTGTAAGTGGTGCTGGCGGGGGAATTTCAGTGCTTTCCAGAGCAAGCCCAACAGTCTATTGCAGGCACCTTTTATACCAGTCCAACAGTGGCCATGACCTAAAAGAAGCTGTGCTTTGGCTGGTGCTCAGTCATAAAGAATGCTTTTAAGCATTATAATTATGAGATCTTCTTTTTTAAATGGATCCAGGGACTGTTCATAATTTTTGCTTTTTGTTGTTTTTTTTTTAATTCACTGACACTAAATGAAGCTCAAGGCTGCATGCCAGGCTTCCTAGTAAAACAGGTGAGCAGGGGTGCCTGGGTGGCTCAGTTGGTTAAGCATCTTGATTTCAGCTCAGGTCATGATCTCATGGTTCGTGAGATCGAGCCCCACGTCAGATCTATGTGCTGACAGCCTGTGTGGGATTCTCTCTCTCTGCCCCTCCCCGACTCATGCTCCTCTCTCTCGAAATAAATGCAAAAAACTTAAAAAAATAAAACCAGGAAATATTCACAGTTCTGCTGCCTGGCTTTCAAGGAGGCATCTCCCACTGAACACCCAGCATGTATTCGTTACTTCAGCCCACTTAAGAGTCTAAACGCAAACATTTCAAAGACATAGTCACCGACATGTCTGCCTGAAAGTGACAAGAAGTAGATCACAGACCAGTACTGCAGCGAAGCGTGAACAGCTCGAACTGCGTACCGTACCTTCTCATCAGCTGCCAGACCAAAGCTAAAGTCAGAGTTTGGTTTCCATCATTCAGGTCCTGCCCTCCAATACCGACCAGGGAGAATTTGGCAGGATGCTTCCCCAGTTCAACAGCATAGTTGCAGTTTTCCAGCTGTAAACGCACAGAAGGTAAATGGTCAAAGATTTCTCGTCTGCTTACTCCGCGCACATGTGAGTACATGTTTGCGACGCGGGGTGCTCCACGCATCAAAAGAAGTCAAGACACAGTTCCTGTTCTCAAGAAGCTCAGACTCAAGAGTGTTCTAAACGAAAGAAACACACGGAGAATAAAAACAGCCCGTAACAAATCTGTGTGGCGACCGAGTGATCTACCTTTTTCATGTTGGCTCCGAGTTTTGGGTATGGAGGTTTATTGACCTTACTCCAGTCAACAGGAACTTTAATTCGTTCGTACAACTGTAAGATTACCAAGGCGTCTTGTAGGTCACTAAAGATTTAAAAAGAATTCAATCAGTGTTTTCAGACAGCCAGACTTGGTTTCATGAAAAGCAGTAACAGTACAGGGGTGACTAAAACATAGAAAACCTGACCAACGATGGAAGAATAGCTGAAGAAGCTGTGGTATATATACACAATGGAATATTGCTCAGCCACCAAAAAGAATGAAATCTTGCCATTTGCATCAACAGGGATGGAACTGGGGCGTGTGATGCTAAGCGAAATAAGTCAGGCAGAGAAAGACAAATATCATATGATTTCACTCATATGTGGAATTAAAGAAACAAAACAGATGAACATAGGGGAAGGGAAGGAAAAATAAGATAAAAACAGAGAGGGACGCAAACCATAAGAGACTCTGAAATACA